GGCGACGACTGAAATTGCGAAAACATCTCAGTTCAAAACCACTGGTTATCTACTGTATTGTCGACATCAAGGCCAAGCCGACCTTAATTCAATAACTTATGCTGCTAGAAATGGGACTATATTGTCACAAACAGAAGCGATATCGGGTATAGAAGTTCATAGAGGAATTTGTACCGCCACTGAATCCATTTTTTGCGGGCCAGCTTAGGCAGATTTCACGATGAAAGGCAGCCCACTATAAATTGAGTTAGAGATGGTCAGTGGTGCACGAAAGGAAAAACCGAGAAATGGCCTAGAACCCGAGAAATGGGACCCTTCCTTGCCCGTTGATTTGCGCATTGATGCGACTCTCATCGGTGCTGCCCTCTTCAACGCTAACGCTCTCTCTGCCGAATGGCTAGAGACTCATTGTCAGACACAAGACGACACGACATGCGCCAACAGCACGCAGGTATGGCCATACTAGATTGCCGAGGGCATATTTTTCAATGCGAATTGCGTGTTGAGCCGCACCCTCAGGATGTCGACACCTCTCCTCACTAGGTGTGTTACCCTTTGTTCGACATTCATTCTTTTCCTGGAAACCTCTTAAAGCAAAGCCGTGTCAAATGCGCAAAACTAGCACACAGCACAATTACGAAGCCGACAGGAGATGAACCAACCCGGAGATGGCCCGCAATGCAACTGCTGTTGTAGCAACAAGTGGTTGAGAATAATGTCCCTTTATAAGATAAACTCACCGTTCGCGAAAGACGTTCTTTGGCTGTTGTTGGGGCAGGTGTCTCACTTCCCTTAACTCGGGACCTTCTTATGTGCAACAATAAGGTTTAAATCATTACCACATAGTTAGTTGCTCCAGAAAAACTAGGTTAAGTTTTCAAGTAGGGAGTCTTAACACTTACTTGAGGTACTCCTGTGTTTGCTGAAGTAGACGTGCCTGTCTCCTAAATTCAGCGTCGTTAACTTTTTAGTTACTTTATTAACCTTTCATTTGCTTAAGAAAATTCTGATTCGCCACTGTGCCGAATGTAAAGACCAAATTTGCTAGAGTGAGCTCTGCCCGTTGCTAGAGAAGACTTGTTCGCCATAAACTCACCAATTGCGGTCCTACCGGAGACTCTTCCAGTCGTTTGGAGTAAGGAACGTATGACGCTCAACTGATTTTTATTGAATGTTATTATTCTAGTTCATTCAATATTTTTTACTCTTGGCCCTCAGAAGAAGAAGGAGATGTTATAACAGGACTGATGGATCTTTAAAAGTTCAACTCACAGACTCTTCCGAAGGAGCCCAGCCAGTAGCTACGGCAGGTGTCGTTGACGTCTAATTTATTTGCTTCGTTTGCGGTGAAAATCCAGTTGGGGGGGGCCACTCATATATCTTATCTACATATCTTATCAAAGTGACTATCTAATCAGAGCGAAGTTGCGGAAAGGCCCTCATATCTTATCAACATTCAGAGCACAGGCTCTGTGTGTGCGATTAGATAGGATACCACTCGCATAGTGCAAAAGGATACCACGTGGTGAACATCGTGAAAGTGCGAAGTGTCAGCAGGGCAGCAGCCATTTCCGCTATAGAATGGTAGGCAAGGGTAACAGTCAAATGAATGTGTGACGTAGCAATCGTAGGACACCGTCTCAGTACGCTGATTACGTTTGATAAGATATGAGTGCCTTCCCCTATGCTGTGATTAGATATGAGGGCCTTTCCGCAACTCCGCTCTGATTAGATAGTCACTTTGATAAGATATGTAGATAAGATATATGAGTGGCCCCCCCCAACTGGAGTTTCACCCTCGTCTCACGAACATAACGAGTTGCCGTCTTATTTTTCTAGCAGTGCTCAGTTTAAGAATCCTGCTCCTTTGTCCGTTTATAAAGCTCAGGTTCGATCTCACCGTAGGTGGACCGGACTGGTGGATCAGCCAATGTTGGAAGAAGAAGGAGAGAAGAAGAAAGAAGGGAAGAAGGAAAAAAGGAAAAAGGAACAAAATTGAGGAGGAAGAAGAAGAATAGTTTAAACGAAGAGGAAATAAATCGAGAAGTACAAATAGAAACCTTTTTCTCGGAAAAATAGCAGAACCTTGATTTTAGGCCACCTTAGCATATTCGGTGCTTTAAAGGAATCATGACCTCACCAAGGAAGAGTTTCAAATGTGGATAAGAAAATACAACGAAAAAAGCGCTGGAAAACGTTCTGCTCCTAAAAAGACTAATGGTGAAAATGGGACTCACGGTACTAACTGAAGGTTTCCTCGGAGTGCTCGGAACAGAGGAACCGGATGCCTGAATTCACTACTAATTCGCACTTTGAAGAGAACATCTCCGAAAATAGAAACTCCAAGCATCACAACTTCTCGAAGGAAACGAAAACTCACTGCTCGCCCAGGAGGCTCCGCTGCTTTCTGTGTTGCGGCAGACAGCTAAAATTTCAACAATTTTCACAATTTTCCAATGGAAGGACGAATATCCCCAGAAGCAGGTTGCAGTTAATTAGAGTACATGGCCATGAGGGATCTTTCCCCGGCCAGGTAGGTGACATTTTCTAGACCGCTCTTTTCCACAAGTAGCACCCTACCATTAATGCTAGTGATAATTTTGCTGCGCAGCTCAGGCAGCTGTGCATGAATGCCTAATAAATCAAGTCTGTGATCAGAAGAGCTTAAGTGATCGTAGTCTCGAAGTTTCAGAGCCTAACCAGCTTCAGGCTTTAACTATTGGAAAATGTGGTCTATCACATCAAGGCTGAAGCCTGGCTGGGCTGAAGAAACTGCAAAAGAACCTTCTCCTGCCAATCGAGGAAGTCATTGCTGCAAGAACAGCCAAATAGTAGAGCAGCACTCAATCCTTGAACGATTCCTTCTCGAAAACACCATTATTCTATCTCACCCACAAACCACCGTCTTGAGACCGTGGTCTGTTTTCAGGAAAAGAAACTGGACACGACTCATAGAGTGATAAAGACTCTCAGCGATGAATAATAAACATACGTCTTGAAACGAAGGTTGCTGACCAGTTGTCGGGGCAGTCGACCAAGTCGTCTGAAACTGGAGGTTTTTTACGAATGAAGAATCCTAGGCTTTGGCCGAGTGCCAAACAGGTATTTTTAGGACGAATAAATAACCCACAGCTGTGGATGTTCTATCAGTGACGGCGCTTTCTGTGCTCTTCGTTTTCCTCGTGCTTTTTCCGCTCTCATCTTCTTTTTTAATATTCACTGACGGGTCACTATGAGTTCTGCCCAGCCTTTTTTCCCTTACAAAAAAACAACTGTGTTCAACACGAACGATCACATAAGGGTTGATAGAAAGGCTCACCCTCTCAGCTGCTGTGCCAGTTCAAGGATTCTTCTGCGACCTTCCTTGACCCTCTTCAACGACTCTTCACGCAGTTTTGCTCTCCGCTGAAGCGTCCACACCTTTAGCACTGAGTTTGACATTAACACAGCAAGACTTAAAGGCAAGGTCCAGGATCAAATTGGTGTGCACTTGGAAGAGTAAGGTGACAGTGGAGATAAAAAGTAAAAGGCGAGCGATGGAAAACTAGGAAGAAATCACTGACAAGGTCAGAAATAAACCCTTTCTTCAGTCGCTGCGGGGCGAAATAGCGCTGAAGACGGGCTCAATGGTGTTGGGCGGGGCCAATGTTGCATCCTAGGGACTTAACGCGTCTACGTTGTCAAATAATTCCGAAAATTGTGCATGTATTTTCGCTTGCGCATCGCTGCTTTTCTTCGGTAAAACGTTAATTTCGACCAGAAATCCCGAACCCAACCATTGAAGGTTACCTCTTTTTGAAATTCTTCAACCCACACTTCCTCTTCGAACTGTTCACAATAATACCTGTGCTGCGAAGCAAACACTTTTCACCCACAAACCGGACTCAACCCAAGCGTTGAAACGGCAGTCGGAGCTTGAAGAAAACAAGTCTAGATTTAATCGTCTAACGTCCGTTCCGGCCCGAGGGTTCACTGCGAGGTGGTTTAACCGACTCATCATGCTAGACGTGTGAGTGCTGATAAACATATGCAAAAAAGAACTAACCATGAAAAGCTGAATTGTGGCGAAACAGTGCCCCGGTAGCGTAGCTTGTAGTGCACTTGCCCGGTAAGCGAGAGGTGCGGGTTCGAGTCCTCCTACGGCAAAAGGTTTTGAGCATAATCTAGTACTCTTGTGAAAACGATAGCATATAACTTGAACAGAAGCGTTTTCAACATTTGCTACAACAAGTTGGAATTTATGCTCATTACATTTTGGTCGAAATTCCCCCTACAGATTGATTCTCGCTCACACAGTTCATGTGAACCTGGACTAGCACCCAGAATCCGTGAACCCCGGCGAACATAGCAGACCACGTCAAGACTTTCATTATCACCTTTCCTTTCCCAGTCGTGTATCATTTTCCGTACTAGAATATTTCGCTGTTCTACTTGCTTCTTCTTAAATGTCCTTAATCTAAGCTTTCTGCAGCTATCAAACACCGAGAGCACACAGCTCGGTAGAGCTTCGTTCCTTCTGCGACTTCCTGAGAGCGCGATTTGTGAAAAAGAATAAACCACGGCAGTAGCGCTCGAAAAGGCGTCTTGTCCCACAAGACCAGAAAAACCCAAACCCGCGTTGTCGTCAATGTGTTAATCACCACAACTATTTAGTACCACCAAAACGCCAACGGATGTTTGTGATTGGTGAGGAGGAACAGGTAACTTTGGCAAACAACGACTTACCCCAGGTCTTGTCGTCCGGGTGCTTTCATCTGGACCCTGCTCGAGATCTTTCGAAGTTCGTCGTCGAGGTGGAGAGGGTGGTGAAGAGCCTTCTTCCCCTTCTGCAGGCTCCTCTGCATCGAATGACCTTTTAGTTGAGAAAAAAGAAGGAAAGAAATATTCCAATGCTTTAGTAGCATCTTGGCAACTTTTAGTGTAGCAGTATTTGCCACACCAACACTCTAAGCACCAGATGACCAATAGATCAGATGAATAACTTATGGTTGATGACGAATGCGGCTTTTTCGTTTTCCATTAGGCCTCTGTTCTTACCTGCACTGTACAGCGCACACCACATGATTATAAAGCGGGGAGGGGGTCGTATGAGGTTGGCGAAAGCCGAAAAATCGAAGGGAGCTTTTGTGGAAATTGGTGGGGACGTGGGGTCGTGTTTGACGAATTTCGCGATGATTTTGGGAAAAACTTCACGAAAGAAGCGAGAAAATAGACGACGTCAAACGATTTGCCGTTTGCGCGAGTAGGCGGAGTTGGAGCGTGTCGAATAGTCCCAAAACCAGGTGCTAACAGTTGGTGAGGAGATGGGGATGGGGGTGAGGGGGTATCTGCTCCCCTAAGACAATGGTGTCGTTCAATTTCCGGAACTGGAACAAAGGATGCTTGACCCTGGTTGCATGTGGCCTCTCCTGCCATGCGCACGGTGCGGATATCGAATCACACTTATAAAAATGCCTTGCCCCATAATTCTTGGATGCCAGTTTTCGCATTCACGCCTCACTTATACCTGAATGGAAGTAGAAAGTTTCTCAGGTACGAAAAAAGAAGAACTGACTCAAGTCGAACGAATTATAATTGTCTTTGAGAAACGAGAAGTTATGCTTTTAACCTGAGCCTTTCTTTCCACTTTTACTATCAGTCTTGCTGCTTGTGCTTCTTCTTCTACGTCTTCTATGTCGCCGTTTTGGCTTCGCAGAAATCTCATCGTTCAGATTTATATGGACGTGTCTGAGAACTGTGGCAGCGAGAAGAGCAAACGTCTGAAAGATCGTTAGGAATTCACTAAACGAGAGAAGCCCGCACAATTAGCTCACAGTTTGAGCAACACAAAGGAAGTGGCAGTCTTTTCGCCCTCAACTTTGCGCGCGATCCAGAACATTTGCCTAGCTCCGATGTCAGGCTTTGCGAGTCGAGCGATTCGCTGGCCATGACGCGACCGCAGACGCTAGCGAATCGCTCCATTCGCAAAGTCTGACATCGGCCTACGAATGAGCAGAGCATACTCGAGCACAGCGGGTAACCGTAACGCGTTAGCAGCGTAGTACTGGATTTATATCACAATAAAAGTCGTTGCGGGGTTTTTTATGCCTACAAATAGCTGCACATCGACCTAAGAGGAACCTTACGACAACACACATAGGGTGAGGGAATTCCTTTGTATTCATTGGTTTCTCATTTCTCATTTCTTCTGTAGGTTGACTAGAGCTCAGAAAAAGCCAAATGTTTCTACCCGTCCCTGCAGAGAGCTCTGAAACCAGAACCACACCAAACTTGGGTCTGCTCTTTGTTTAGTCAAGTATTTCACCGAGAAGACAATTGAGGAAACTTGATTATTCTTCTCGGTTAACAAAAGGACAAAGATGAGAAGGCACAGGAGGCATTGAGCATTCACAGGAACACTGAAGTCCGGCTGGTGGCGGGGGAG